ATAGTACGAATAATGAATGTACATAGATGGTGTCGCGTTCTGCCGTAACCTTTGCAATTTGCAGCTCCAAGGCCCTATACTTTTCATGCAAGGCCTGGAACTGCTGAATTTCGTGCATATATGCACCCTAAAATGTTTTATCAGCACCAAAATCACGGCAAGCCAACATACCTGTTGAAAATGAGGTCTGCGGCGCTCTAGAACTATCTGTAAAGAGATCTCCGTCAGGCGGGTAATGGCATAGAACCGGGAGATAGGGGGGAAGGTGTAAGTTCCTGGCCCCAACGCGGCATATTGAAATTTTGCGGAGGACATTGTGAGTTATGCGTAGGATGAAATAAAGACCCCCCAGTGAAATCCATGGTGCTTCCACTAGCAGAAGAGTACATGATATAAGTAGAGTCAGAGCAATACGCACATACTACAAGCCAGATGTCGTGAGATCTAAACTCCGCTGGAAGCTTCCGATAACGAGGAGCGAGTGAGGCAATTTTATTGTGCAGATTTAGGGCAATACATGCGATAACAATTTGTACAGTACAATAATTCTATGGGGAATGTGAGCAAGATGCGATGCGAGAAACAGGACACAAAGGGTACAACAACATGGAGCGAGTGATGGGTGCAAAAGTGCGACGGTGCAAGAGACGGTGCAAGAGACGGTATCGTGATTGTGCGACAACGAATGAAAGAGACAATGGGATGCAAGGGTTACATGGTATGCTCCGTCTGAGGCAATGGACCAACAGCGGCAGAGAAGGTTCTGAAGGTGTGAAGCTCAGTTATGGGCTCATCAGGAGAAATGGGTCTCAATTTGCGAGGCCGGCGAGGTGGCCCAATCTGTATCGTGGAATGGACGTCTGGAGGAGACAGGGACTTTGCGCATGGGAGGCTCTTTGAGAACTCGAAGTCCCAGGAGCTGAATGGGCTTTGCGTTGACATGACCGCTGAATACAAATATGTTACGAGCTGTCGAGTAGCCGAGAGAATGATCAGAACACTTACCTGGAGTAAGTCGCCAAGTCCACCATTGTAATATCCGGATCTCCCAAGTCCCTCTGGCCTTGAGTTTCTGATCGAGGGCATGTACTACGAGAAGGTGCGTGAACATAGGCTCGAAAGAGGAATAAGAAACACGTCACCTCTTCCGCCCTTTTGGTTTTCCAGGCAACAAACCCTCGGCTTCGCTGTCTGGACAGTCTTCTAGTTTAACGAGTTTCACGGTATCAAGAAGGCGAATGACGAGTTTCTGCAGAGGCAATGTCAGCATACAAGTATTAGTAGAACTAGGAGTAGTTGAAATTATTTACCAGCGGTCCCGGTTTTTTCGGTGTAAAATTGATCTCGTAGGTAGGCCAACCATCGAGCAAATTTTCAACTTCCAAGACAAGGACATTGTCATGCAAGGTTACATTGGCCAGTTGGTCGATAAGATCAAGCGCAGTTTGAGCAGGTGAACTTTCGGCAGGCACTAGTTGATGAGATGAGGACATAATGCTAGCCGAATCAGTTGTTGCAACAGGTGGGCTGGACTTAACGAAATTTTGCCAGTCGAGTCTACGGCAAATTCCGGCGGAGTTAGATGGCCTGTCTTCTCACACTCTAATGTGGATTCCCCACAAGAGAATGTAAGGAAACTAGACAAGTGAGTACGAAGAAAGTATTGTGATTTGTGGACTACAAGGTGAGTATTTAAGCGGTTGTAATTCAATTGAATAGATTGCGCCCTGAAACACACGATGGTCGGATTTTCTTTTCAGATCACAACGAAGTTAATGGCGGGGCACTTCTGGATTGGTCAAACGGTACGTTACATGTACATGGTACATTCGCTCGTCGTATTGACGACCAAGGCAGATTGCACCTATTGCCGTTCTAATGGACGAGCTGCGCTCGGAAGACGTTCAACTACGCCTCAATGCCATTCACAGCATACCCACAATTGCACTCGCTTTAAAGCGGCTCTCACAGGGCGAATGGTTTACATCGCGTACCTCTTCTGCTGCACTGTATCCTCCAGTTTACAACAAAGTATCATGGGATCTCGCCGCGTTGGGTGCAGATGATACACATATGGCCGCGCAGCAACATGTCTTGTCGGATGGGCTACCAATCTACCGCAGACTCCAATCCGATGATCAGGATTCTGTGCGCTTATTCACCGTAGAAGATCTTATTGTTATCACGAAGCAACTTACGCACCGTAGTAGATCTTATTGTTATCGTGTTCTGAAGCACGCAATTCATTCAATTGAATGGTCTCTGTCACTCGTCCATTTTAAGTTTCTATTCAATCGCAAACGCATAAAGCTTCTGGTCGTATACTCTCCTGTTCTCTGCAATCCCTCCATTGTTAACCTCCCTTGACGAGCTTCCTCACATTCAACTTTCGAGACGCCCGGCAAGGGAGTGTTTTCGTCGTTATGTTTCTTCGCACTCAATCTTAGAGAAGCTGAGATAGATTGTGAAGACGCACCACGACGCAGCAGCACTTTATTTTTTGTATACAGTGTATTCTAGGGAACAGTTAACCGTTATAATACATTATTCTACATCTGCACCGTCATCGTCGTCATCCAGAATGTTGTTCGTGATCCCAACATTTGAAAGATCTAAACCGGGCTTCTCAAGCATGAAGAAACGTTCTCCCTCCTCCATAAGTCCTGCAGGTAGCCTTGGATTGTGCGGAATCATCGCAACAACACTCAGAACCTGCTTCGCATCAATTACACATATTTCTTCGAGTTTGGAGCAAGAAATAACGGTGTGCGAGGAGAGCCGAAGGAGATCTGCGTCTGGAAGGGAAAATAATTGGACCACCGCGACATCCTGCCAGCGCCAGTCATGCTCGTCGTCGAAGTCTGCTTGAACCGACAGCCTGGTGAAGTATAAAACTTCACCAAACCGCACCTGTTCACGGTACTGTAGCTATGTCGTGTTAGTAATGTGCAAATATTATGTTCTGTGATACTCACTTTCACATTGCGTGACATGCGCGTTTGGTCGAGTGGTTTGAACATCTCTCTCCACAAGGATCGTGCGATTTGTCCATTAGGCAGGAGAAGTCGTGCCCAACGTTTGATACGAGGAAGCGGGCGTCCATCTCCTAGGTAATCGAGTATGGCTTGTGCAGCACCTCCGACTGGGCCGAAGGTATACTTGTCTCGTTTTCGCAATAATGCAAACCCGTCTCCTAGATCTACTGCGCCCACCGGCAGAAGTTTTGCCGGCTCGTCAAGCTCTGGCATGATGGATAAAAGGGTGTTGACCTGACAGCGTCGAACACCCTCTTGGGATAGATTAGCATAGGGGCGAGCTGGTTGACGTATCTCTTGCCCGAGGTTGCCAATGGTCCGCTCCATGGTCCATTGCGCGTAACAGATAGGAGGACCTTTCTGCACGGTTTCAGCAACGAGATGGTTGGTTTGGTGGATGCAGGGGCGGATAAAGTGAATGCGATCTTGCCGGCGTCTGTAATACAAGTGCTCGAATTCGTACTCCCAGGTACACAAGAGTTCTTGGGCTTCTCGGATATGCTGCACGGTAATACTATGCTGGCACATCAACTGAAAGCCCCGCACGAGCTTGCAGTAATTCATCCAGTATGGCTCTGGGAGGACGTTATAAAGCAGCGCGGGCCCGAGACCAAAGGTATGGAGTTGGAATTCCCATGTCTTATACCCCGTGTTGATTTTTTCGGCGATGTTCCGTGGTTTGCGATCAAACGAGCTAGGTAGAAATGGTCCTGTCGCTGCAACCGACTCTCCATGTGCACTCCAAGTATCCGCGTCCTGGAGTACGGCCCAATCCCATGTGGCCACGTCATCCGTGACGCCACAATCTATTGTCCCGCGCCAGAGAGCAACAAGTAAGTCGCTGAGATTACCTGCGAGATGCATTATATCAGTAGTCATACAGTGGGGAATACCGAGGCAGCGTGAAGGCTTGAGGCCCAGAATAAGAGGCGGTCTTGTGATCCCAGTCTCGGTCTTACGAATGTCCAATTGTCGTTGACTCGGGGAAGTTATGAGGCGCCGTAAGTTGTGAGCGTATTCTTCAGAACCACCGGGGGGAAGCCGAAAAACACTAATATCAGCGTGGTCACTGCCAGGGGCACACGCACCCAGTGGCTTCAGCAAAGCAGGATAATAGTGTGTTCCTCCTGGTTTGCGTCTGCCGAGGACACCGCAATAAACTCGACAACCGTTTTTCCCGCTATGCCCCACCATCCCGTCCCAGTAGACTAGCCCAGGCCCATCCGCGGTCGTGAAGATGAGGTAAAGGTCGGATGTGAATGTTACATCACGAGATGAGTCCCATATGACGAGGCCCTCATTCTGGAGAGCCGCAAGATGATGGAGGCCTACGACGAGGAAAGAATCTAAATTTTTCGGCTTATTAGGCCCAGGAATGAAACCACCAGGGCGGACGTGAGCTTTACGGTATCGCTTGTCGGGGGAAAGGTTGACGACGACCCATATGTACATCCAGCAGTCGGATTGTTTGCTTTCGTACAGCTGGGCACCATCTAGGGACACCATCAGAACAATATCGTTCTCCTTTATATCTCCATCAAGCACCGCACCAATAGCGTCATGTCCCATTGCGATATCGTCGAAAACCGGGATCTCTCCAGTTTGCGTGAGGTCTGCGAGAACTTCCCGAACTCGATTGTAGAAGTAGCGCATATTTTGTGCGCTGTCAGGGTGTCGATAAAGGGCCTGTAATTGTGGCCCTAGCGGTAAGGTTGTGAATGTTTGAGCAGCGACTTTTGTACGTCCGTTAGTTGCACGCAGTCTTGCTTGATCCCACCGGGATGTATCGCACATTGGACAGGATTCGAGAGCTGCAAAAGGACCCGTAAACGCTAAGCACGACTTGGGACACATGTCGTGCTTGATTGATTCAACACCGGTATATTGCGCAATAATCTTCTCGACACTGTAGAAACTAAGGATCTCGTCGACACCAGCAGCTCCTGCAAAATTGAGCTTGGTGGATCTCTGGATCCGATTATAGGCCTCCTGCGATGCATGTTCTAATGCGAGGTACGAGGATATGCTGTGCCGGATACTCGGACTATCTATGACGACAGGCTCTCGAGGTGGATTGCGAAGTCTCTCAAGAGCTGCGTCATCCAATTTCGCTATCTGGATCTTCCAGGGATGCATTTCTAAGTGCGAGTATGTATTCCATCGTCTCCTTCATCTTTGGAAGCACTGCCATCTGGGCAAGCGCCTCCACATCAATATTTGGTCGTGGTTGGCATTGCAGGACAAACTGATACTCCTGTTGGTGTCCATCACCCTCGGGAGCATTGTTGGGGACGGGAGGCTCGTGCTGATTGGCGACATCGCCAGGAGGTATGGGTGGGTTATGGTCGGGGATGGGAACTTCGTTCTGATCGGGGATGGGACCCTCGTGCTGATTGGCGACATCGCCAGGAGGTATGGGTGGGTTATTGTTGGGGATGGGACCCTCGTGCTGATTGGCGACATCGCCAGGAGGTATGGGTGGATTATTGTTGGGGATGGGACCCTCGTGCTGATCAGCGACATCGCCAGGAGGTATGGGTGGATTATTGTTGGGGATGGGACCCTCGTGCTGATCAGCGACATCGCCAGGAGGTATGGGTGGATTATGGTCGGGGATGGGACCCTCGTTCTGATCGGCGAAATCGCCAGGATGCTCATCCGGATCAGCAAGAGGCATGGGTACATCATCTGTCTGATAATTATTAGTGCATAGTTCGACATGTTCGTTAGACATACGTACCAGATTGTCACCATCATCACGCATTGTGATATCCGACTGGTCCATCGAGGTACTTTGAGCACATTTTCGGCGTCCAACACGTCTCGTGTCTTGGTTCTCGCGCGCTCGTTTAGCAAGGGTTTGTATTGCGGCTGCGCGACGAGAACTGGGAGGCAGATAGGAGCCAGAAGCTACACTTTGATCGTCTTGCGGCTGTTCTGGAAGTCTGAAGTGAGTGATCCTGCATAGTGTTGTCTATGATAAGATCCTTAGTGAGTATACGAGGCAAAATTGAAACTAACAAATACCATATGTATGTAGTGCTTCAGCAGCACGTATTCTCGCCTTCTCCTCCTCCGTACTAGCCTGCTGAAGGTGTTGATACCATGTCGACTTTGATACTGAGTGGGGTCTTCCCAACCCATACTTCTCGCATACGCACACGAATTTGTGCGAAATCTGGTAGCATCTGTAATAGATTAGCCTAGGATGTAACAAATAACAGAAGTACTGAGCATACCTAGTGCAATATGCGACGCTGTGTGATACAAGACGTTGCACGTTGCGATCGTTACTGCGAGTGACGTGATACGAGACGTTGCACGTTGCGATCGATACCGCGAGTAGGACGTTGATGCGCAGTGCGCTATGCGTCGTTGGTGCAGTTACAATGTGTTAAAATTGACGAGTATCGATTTCAACCGAAAGAAGCATAACTCGACATAGTACTAAAATGGTAATTCTCATCTCAACATATTCGGCCCTATCCGGGCACAGCCAATTCTCACTGGGCCTCATCGACATCTATCATTCGCCAACCCGCTTTTTGCGAGGACACTCTATTGTATTGAAAATGGCTCGCTTGCATCGAGTCTCAATATACTCCTCTGTCCTTATTTCGATCTATCTACTGATGTTGTTTGAGGTCCTGTCTATACCACTCATTGACACGGGTGTAGCGCAAGAAATCCTTCCAGTCGTACGTCCTTCTCCTGAGCTCACTGGAATGAACGCCTTGATTCACGCAACCATAACGTACAATTAGATTCCGTGGTGGCTTTTGGTGTCATTCGGGTCGTATTCCCTCTGGAGTCTCGGCTGGGGGGTATTCACGTTCCGCGACTGCCCCGAGGCGTATCACGAATTGCTGCAGGTAAGCAGCAGAGATTTCTCCCAAGGACTTATGGGCTGATATCTGGTCGTCCATCCGAAACGCAGGAGATCAACGAAGCCAAAAACGATCTCCGAACTCGGGCTGTCACTGTCGACTGAGGCGACTCCTTCACACATTTCTACATTTGACTCAAAATACGTGCAGATGTAATCTATATTCGACTCAAATACCAGTCCCATGAGCCCCTCTTTCGTTTTCTTCTCGTTCCTAAGTTTGGTTCAGATGTATAGGACATTGACGAGATGCGTCCGACGGGCATTCAACATCCTTGGTCACTTACCGACGACTCACACTCAGAGATATTGAGATTTGGAGACTGATCCCGTGTAGACCTAGCTTTTTTTCCGTTGTTCCCTTGTACACACACTGTGGGATACTGACAGTAGCGCCGGATATGTGAAGTTAAAAATCATTGAGGTGACTTGGGAGATAGGCTGGTGGGAAATGGAAGTGAGATTGACGCTCTAATACAGGAACTTCGGTCATGGCTGTGAGTGAGATAACGCACGGCTAGCACTGCCATGGAGAAGCGCGTTAGGATATAAGCCAGGAATACTGCTGTGCTCACATTACAGATTTCCTCGCTCTTTCTCTTTGCTAGCGCCTTTAACTGACCATCGGCTTCAGCAGGGTAAGTGCTGTCATCATCAAAATCCCAATCAGTATCAGGCTTACAGCGCACGAGGACAGCTCATCGCAGCTCCTTCGAACGCACGCATACAGAAGATATCTTGCCTACTTGACTGTGATTTCGCTCGCGGAGACACAGCCATGGCTTCCACATCGACGAAGCAGTTCGGTTTAGATATCAATATGATCCTGAAACCGGCAAGGACGTCGATGGCTGATGTGGGTATTACAACCACAGCCTACTTTCCTGATGGGCAGCGAATGATGAGCGGATCTTGGGATAAAACCACTCGGCAATGGGACTTGCAGTCGGGCAAGGAGATTGAGGAAGTGCGGGGTGTTTGTGAGGAGCAGATACAGGCAGTGACGGCATCAAGGGATGGTCGGTGGGTCACCACTGGTGGTGGAAATTTGGAAACCGGGGAGCTAAAGGCTTGTGAGGTTGAGACGGGGATCGTCAAAACATTCGAAGGACACCGACGGAGGATTGAGTGCATTGATATCTCCGCGGATAGCAAGCTGCTGGCGAGTGGGTCAGTTGATGAAACAGCGCGGATATGGAACTTGGAGACAGGCAAACTGGTGGCCGGTCCATTCAAGAGCGTTGATTGGGTGGGCGCAGTTCGATTCTCGACAGATTCGAAGAAGCTCGCAATAAAATCAATTACCGGGACGTGCCTTGAGGTCTGGGATATCCAAAAACAGCAATTGGATGTGAGGACTGGGACACGAGGTGTAGTACCATTCACATATGCGCCAATGTTCTGGACAAACAAAAACAGAAACATTTTGGCCGTATTCACCTTCGAGCAATCGCAAGATGATATCACGGTCGCCAAAACAATCTACGAGTTCGACGCATCAACACTGGAGACTGTCGGAACTCCCTTCAAAGGGCACACCGAGCTTATCACCAGTTTTGCACTTTTATTTGACGGCGCCCTCCTCGCCAGTGCCAGTGACTACAACACCATCAAGCTTTGGGACTTTGAGTCCCGCCAACTCCTTGCCTCCTTCGACGTTCCTGAAGTCACATTCCTCATGCCCTCACCAGACTCACTTCAACTAGCTTTCACGACCGAAGGTGATCCCAATATTTACATATGCAACATGTACTCTCTGCTTGCTATACCGGAAATACAGTCTGCCCTCCACAAAGTACGCACTTGCACCATGAATCTATCTTCGGTGCACTAACCTTCCCTCGAAGACCGATACCCTCCGACATTTACTTCAGGTATATACCCCACTGATCATTTTCACCGTGGTGCTGAATTGAATGATTACAGTCTGATGCAACCCGTCGTCCCACTGTCGTGCGCCGTACCCCAGCTGCTATATCATTCCCTCCAAGGCATCAAAGGCCTTCGCATACAAAAAACCACCAGCAACCCACATTCCTTCGCCATTTTCACAAACTCTTTCATTTCGCTCCTCGCACAAACGCAGTACGACATGGTCAACCTCGCGATCCATGGGATGTTCGTCTCTTTATCTTATTTCTTTCATAGTTGACTCACGCATTCCTTATAGGTCCCTGCTACGTCGCCCCTGCCTCCCACCCACTCGACTTCAGTGCAGGCCCCAACTCAGTTCGATCATGTTTGTCTTCGTTTTGAATCAATTCGCAATGCATCACTAAGTCCTATCTAGTTTGAAATGAGCTCTCCGCCCCCCCGCTCAAACAGTCTAAGAGTCACGCAATTCTTGCGGCAGGGTCATTCCTTCCATAGGTCCAGATCCAGCCATGAACCACAAGTTGTTGAAGTCGCAGCAGGGCGGAAAGTCAAAGTAACGCAGATCTTCTCGCATCTTCTTCCCTTTTGCTGATCGGTGCCTTACAGAATCTTGTTGCTGCCAAATTACCAGAATACATAAAAGTCGACGATACACGACATCCTTCTAGCCAGCAGCCTGGGGTGCCTCAGGACACCGAATCATCTGACAATGATTCGCTCCCAGACGTGCATTGGTGCAAGGCGTTCCTTTGCTATTATTCGTGCTGGTCTCATGGCAGACTGAGGACGCCTCCTCGATGGCGCTTGGAGCGTATTGACATCCCCCGCCGGGACGCTGCGACAACTAGCAGCCATGCTGGGGCTCACAGTAGCAGTTAGCTCAATGTAGATGTATTCAACTTAGTTTGATTCCCCGCCAACTGATGATTCAAACTTCTTTCTGCACGTTTTTTTTTCACATTACGCAGTTGCCTTGTAGCTATGACAGTGCATAATTCACACATTCCAGGGTCGTAGGACGATACACAATACATCGAGACCTTGCTTGTCCTCTCTCACCTTGGGATTAATGCCGTTCTCGTCATTCTAGCAAATACCTCCGATCAGGGATTTGCATGAAAGTCCGATTCCAGTGATCGGCGGGACCCTAGATCGTCATCATTATCATTATCACAGTACAGCATAGCAAGTGTATTTCTGAGTTCGTCTGCGTGCTTTGCATGCAGAGGTACTTCCAGACAGACAGTACTGTACAGAAGCCTGGCGTTCTCCGACTCCGTCATCCCGTCATCACGTATCATAGTCGCATAGATCCAGATGTACATCAGGATGAAGTGGCGGCGATTCTCGTAAGACAACCTGTGGAAGCGCTAGTACTCCATATAAACACATTGATGCTTCATACAAGTCTAGCGGGCCCACTATAGATGCACGATCGCCCGAGTTTCTTTGCGGTATGAATTGCATTGGAATTCCTTGAGTTCAGACAATTTTGTTACAAGGTCAAAGAAAGTGATAGCATTGATGTGTTCATGCATAAGTATGGTGTGAGATGTAATGAGTGAGGTGATGCCGCAGATACGACAGAGCAAAATAATGAGTGGAGGGTGCTACAGATACGACCGCGCGATATAATGATATATAAAGAAATGCAATGAATGAAGGATGCCCGCAGGCGGATACGGCAGAGAAATATAAATGATAGATAAAGTCATGTGTAGTCCGTGAACGATGGATTATGCAGTCCAAATGATGAGATGATGCACGCTTGCCCGATGATCTTGTCCGAGAGAGATATCTGGAACCTTGTTCCAATCGAAACCATATGATAAATCAATCTTGCGACGACTCGTTCGAACTTCAGGTCGAATCACCAGGTCCTTTAGGTCTTTTGGAACAAGACTTGTAATGACGATTCAAAGAGTCCGAGCGACTTAAGCTAGAATCAATGTATCAGCTTCACATTCGCACTTAAGAGACGCGTGGCACTTACTCCTTGCTACAGTATTCGCATTTAAACTGACCGTCGTCCCCAGTGTGCCTTTTCGAAGTGATATGCTTCAGCATGCTTGTTCTTGGCATTGTACCCCACTTTTTACACTGCGGAAGACGGCATTTGTACTGGACAATGCCGTGCTGTACGATCAGTTGCACATTGGGAGGTACAGTAAGAGTCTTGCGTCCCGCGCCCGATATTTCTGAAAGCTGGGGTAAATATCCAAAAGGAGGAGGGGCGGAGGGGTGGTGCGATAGCCCATGCATCATCTGAGGCTGGGGGAAATAGGGTACAAACGCACCAGTCCCTGTAGCTATGATGCATCAAGTCTGCTAACTACAAGTCACAGGTGATGCATCAAGTATGCTAATTAGCCTGTTTTTCCAACTTCTTTGATGCATTAGAACATGCTAAGTAGCAGACTATGCCACACTGCCACTACAGAGCTACATGTTCGCATTTTTAGCCCACTACCGTGGGAACTCCTCCGCAACACCCAAAACATAGCCCATTTGGGGTATTCTCCCAAATATCAACCTTTCCCACACCCTCCCCATCAATCCCTGGCTCCCCACCACACCACAATTAGATATAGCTTCTAGTTAAGTAGTAGTATAGGTTATATACATACCATAGAACATAATAAACCGCTTTTTCTCTTTATTTTTGTACCAATACCTGCTACAGAGCCTCTGTGAGTGTGACCTAATAGAAAACATATCAAAAACTGTTTCGCATTTTTGCCCCTCTGGTACTGGGGTACTATAGAGTGTTTATAATATGTTTATAAATATATATGTACCTATCCTAGCCCTCACCTTACCCCCTAGAGCGTCCTACATCATGTACTGTGCTGTACTAGCATAAAATAGAAAATAGCTACGGAAATTTTGAGCTTTGGGTATATAGACTTGGAAATATGATCCCCAACATCCCTTCAATAGTATACACAACATATCAGGAGCATAGGGCAACAGGATCAGTCCCTGTGGTGCTATGTGCTTACCCTCTCCTGGTGGTTCAACCCCTGGGAAAATTGTTCCTGCACCTCCAGCCCTCCAGGATGGTAGGGCACCTGTTCCTATTGATATATATAGTATACAAATCACATAGATACATGACAATAGCAACAGAAACCTTCTGTAGAGTGGAACATCTCCTCCTGGCTAAACTACTGCATATTTTCGCACTTTTGAGGTTTTTCATCAAATTATCATTGCACAAACTATCCAAACTGTTTATATTTAACTTCTAGTACATATATTAAGTCTTTCTATGGCAAGGATCAGACAGGAATATGTCAGGGTATTGATATCAGGGGTATGTCAGGGAGATTTACTGATAAGTGATCTAGGGTCTCATGAGGATATATCTGTGTAATCAGCTACTTGCTATATAATGAGCCTATATACATGATACCACCTCTGAATTTGTAGAAAGATCCATTCATAACTGAGTGAGTGATAAGCAAAGTAAAAATATGATTGTGG